GCCGACTGTGCAGATGGGAGTTGCACACCCCCTGCCCCGCCAGTGTCTGCAACATTGGTCGGGCTGATAGTGTGGCTCCTCTCCCTCGCCCCTTTGATCTCCTCGAAGATGGCTTGATCCATGTTGAAGTTGAATCCTTTCTCTGCCCTCTGCTGACTCGTCAACTGGAAGAAGTCCTCCTTCCTCGACATGCCCATGAAAGCGTGGACCTTCTTGAACTGCTGCATGAGATTGTCCCATTTTTTCCCGCATTTGTCTTCCGGCCTGTCGACACCGACCTTCAGCAACCTGTCCCGGACGTCCATCCATTTCCACTCCCTCGTCCGCATCCGAGCAAAGTTGTGTCCCGACGCTTGCAGCTGGGCATTCTGATACCGCTTCGCCCTGATTAGGGCCACCATGTGTTCCACGGACCAGAAATTCCGCCCTCCTTCCCCATCACCTTCGCCTTCCGCGTCCGCAGAGGCCGTCGTCGATCTCGTCCGCCTGCGCACCGCTCTAGTCGAAGTGCTGCCCCTGCCGCCCCTACCGCCTATGTTCGGCACACGCAATGGAAACACGTCGCCGCTGTCGTCGTCGTCTACGTCGCACTGAACTTCGTCAGCGTTTGCCCACGCTTCACCCCCCCCGGCGGCCACGTCTGCTTGCCCACTCCGCTCGCCCACGCGTAAACGCTCCACACCTTTCGTTATGGACTCTTCTTGCTGCCGTCGCAACTCCTGCCTCGCATCCTTCCACACCCGCCTGCCATCTCCATATGCGCCCTCGGAAGGGAAATCTTCGTGAGTCACAGCCCGATCTACAGGACGACGAACGTCGTTGCACCCCCCGGACAAAGGAGGACTGAGGGTCATCCACTCAGGACGTTGCCCGACAGTGCGTGGAACTGACAGGCGAGAAGTCACCTGCGTTCGAGGCCATGCCGTCGTCTTCCCCGACGTCACCTCTGCCGCCGCTACGCCCCTCGTGCCCCTGCCGCCGAATGTGACCTGCCCCGCGTCGTCGTCGGGATGAGGGTTCACGAGCACAGTGCGCGTGACAGAAAACGGGCTCCCGCTCCGGAGGCAAAATGTGAGATCGACAGGGGGGAGGCAATCCTCCTCCTCCGCGTCGTCGTGAAGGAGGGAAGTGAACGACTGCCCGTACTTCGTCCTGCGGCGATCATACAACTGGCTACCTGTCCACTCCTGGGTAGACCCGCTACCCAGCGGAACTGTCGTCGACACGTCCACCTCCGCCTCCCCCTCGTCCGAATTGGGCAGCGGTTGCAAGTGAGGCGGCAGACCTTCGTACGGTGATGGACCTGCCGCCCTTCTGTCTGCACCAGCACAGATCGGAGCCCGGTCGGTCGGATAAGGGTCGGACAACGTCCTCTGAGTCGGCCGCCTCACGTCCATGGCAACGCTCTTCCTCGCCCCTCCTTTCCTGCGAGTACGTGAAGGCAACCTCCCCAATATGCACACGTGAACAAAGACGACAACGACAAGCAGAATCACGACGAGGAGGAGCAGCGGCAGCTTGCGGAACACGTCGGCCATGTAAGACAACCGCAGCAAAACGGCCAACCTGAAGGCGACAAACAACAGACGACAAGTGATGGCTGATGACGCCCTCCGCCGGTTTACATTGCGGACCTCTGCTCTCGATGACGGACGTACAGCCCGACGAATTTCGAAATGGCCGCCCGTTGGAGGCCTGTCCGTTTCCCGCCGGCACGCGCGAGCGGCCGGGTCACCTCGGGCCCTCCACGGACCCCGTCCGCCACTCTTCGTTACCGTTGCCGCTATCCCCACCGAAGTCGAACGTTGCCGGCCGGTAATGTCTGCCCACACCTCGGCTGGACCACCGTTGTACCACACTACAAAAATGTGCCGTCGTCGAAGGCTGCCGCTGCCGTCCCGATTTTCGCGGAAACTCCCACTCCGAGGGACCTCGCGAGGTACCTTGGGGAGCGCAGCCAAATGGCTGTGGCCCGAGGACGCCCCGAGGACACCTCGAGGAAATGTTTTCACATCGGTTTCCAAGGAACTCTCTCCGAGGACAGATGGAACGATCATTTCCTCAGGATTTTTGAGCGCCCGAGGAGTGTCTAACGAGCCCCTAACTGTCCGCTCTAGTAAACGCCTAGTAGTGAGTGCGTTAGTAGACACCGCGACAGCGCTAGAGGACACGGCGGGATTTGCATTTGGGTCTCGTTGCACTACTCTCCACTCTCCGAATTCGAAGAGTTTTTCATTGCTGCACTAACTATGATCTTATTCCACCATCCACAAACCCTCGGATAGCTGTCAGTGCTTGTCGCAAACCTCCTTTGAAAAGCACTATCCGCTGGTGGAGAGTGCCCAACCTGCACCGCTGGTTTTCGGATGGACCTCCGCCAGACTCTAAAAAATGCTCCCAATTTGGAGTTTGTGCCTCGAGTCTGGGCGGACGAATGCAATTCCCGCAGTGTCCTCTAGCGTTGTAGCGCTGTCTGCTAATGCACTCAGGACTTGGAGTCTTTCAGAGAGGATAGTTAGTGCAGCGGCAAACCCGAAATCACGAATTCGGAGAGTTTTTCAGCTCTCCGCCAACTCTCCTATTTTTCAGAGAGTGGAGAGTAGTGCAGCGAGACCCTTTGTCTGCCCAGGCTCGAGGCACGCTCTCCAAATTTGGGAGCATTTGTGGAGAGTTTGGCAGATGTCCATCCGAAAAATCACCGTTGCAAGTTAGGCACTCTCTACCAGCAGAGAGTGTTTTTCAAAGGAGGTTTGTGACAGCTAACCGAGGGTTTTGGGATGGTGGAATAGGATAGTTAGTGCAGCGATGAAAAACTCTCTGAATTCGGAGAGTGGAGTGTAGTGCAGCGAGACCCAATGGGTGCGCAATTGGGTCTAGCTGCACTGCTCTCCACTCTCCAATTTCGAAAAGTTTTGCATGGATGCACTAACTGTCCCATTCCACCATCCAAAAAACCTCGGATACCTGTCAAACACCACCATAGAAACGCATCTCCATAGGCGGACAGTGACCAGCCTTCAAAATTCATTCCGTGGATAGACCTTTGAAGAACGCACCTTAGGGCATCAAATTTGGAGAGTGTGCCTGGAGTCGGGCCAGACAAAACAGTGGTGACGTCGCGTTTTCATCAACTGTTACAATGTCTGCTAGTGGACTTAGGAATCAGAGAGTAGGAGTGTGGATAGCTGCGACTAGCATCGTATTCGCGTTTGGAGGCGAACGCCCGAACGTGAATGAGCGCCCCAAAACCTCCGAAAGCGAACATAAAAGAAATATATATATAAAACCTCAGAAAAATCTGAAAAACATGTATGTAATGTAAAACAATAATGCAAACAACTTTTGCCTTGGAGTGATGTTTAAAGTCTTAGCCAAACATGAGTAAAAAATCAAAAACCAAAAAACAAAATGATTTCATTTTATTTTTACACAAGGAAAAATATGTTCACCCAAACACGTTCGCGAGCTGTTTGCTTGAATGCAGAGGGGCGCAAACACATTTGCCGTGCTACGCAGGATAAAATTGAAAAAACTCTATTTCAGAGACTCTGAGTTGTCAAACTCTCTGCCTACTATCGGAATTTCCGGACAGTGGAGAGTACTGCAACGGGACCCATTGTCAGCCACCTGCGGGGCTGAGGTCGTAGGGAATTTGCTATCTCATGTGCACATTTTTACAAATGCGTTTTTTTTTTTTTTTTTTTTTTTTTTTCAATTCTAAAACCCATGGGTGGTGCGCAGCCAGTGTCTGTAATAGCTTACCTGCATCAGCAATGAAAGTATTTCACATAGTCAGTCCCCAAAAGATCTTGGTCCTAGTTAGTCTGGTAGGCTACAGTACCGGCAGGGTAGGCCTAGGGTTTGTAGGACGAGGTCGGAGGTAGGTAACTACAGTGCTTGCAAGCACATTAAGTCCCTAAAGTTCAATTCTGCAGCAGCCTCCCTGCGAAAGTCAGGAACTCTCCCTAAATGCCAATATGGGAACGCCAGAGGCCGCAAGAGGCTGGTACCGACTGAAGCAGGCACGAACAGCCCACTGCAACTATATATTTTGGACTACAATGTCGGACAGACATTCAATTGTACATTTTTGCAGAATTGTGGAAGGACTGCAAGAGCTTGTGTAATCAAGCGACCTGGGTGAAGAAGGAGCGCAAAGGAGAGAAGTGTGCAGCGCCTGGCTGTTACGGTCAGCCATAGCCATGCGAGAGGGGAGAGGTTCCCCTGTGGCCATGGCCACCCAAGATCAGCAAGGCACACTGAGTAGCGTTCAAAAATAGATCTAGAATGTTAAGAGAGGAACATTTAGTGAGGAATAATGAGTGAGGAACAATGCACAAGAGAGAGAGAGAGAGAGAGAGAGAGAGAGAGAGAGAGAGAGGAGAAGAAGCCGAAGAAGGAGGAAGTTGGGTACATACCTGAGGCGTGTTACAATGGTTGAAACCGCTTATTCTCAAACTTTTTCAATTGTATATTATAATTGTTTTTTAAGTGAAACTTTGAATTTGTATTGTTCATGGACATCGCTTAAGCTTGCGTGAACTTCATCTGCTTGCTCGCAATTTGTATGTATCCTAAGTTGAATCTTGTGAGGTTCATAGCACTGGTCTCAGAGCTTGAACTGGTTACACTGCGGTGGTGGAAGAAAAGTCAGCAAGGCATAAGGGTGGCAAGCGAGAAAAGTATCAGGGTTTTACTGTTGACTGCGAGACGAAGCAAAAAATGTTAATTCAAGGTTGGAAAGCGATTTACTTACTTGCAGGAGACCAAGATTGGTAGGGAGCAACACCCAAGTGAAGTGTTTTCTGGCACATTTTGGGCCCTTGCCCTGCGTGTTGGACCTTTTTGTTGAATTTTCACACATTTTCTTGGTAACGGCTGTTGGAGGTCAATTGCTGTAAATGTCATTGTAGCTGTAACTCTGTCGGGCTCGAGTCAAACGTTGAAGTACGTAAGGATAAATGTCGGGGTAGGTCTAAGCGGTGAGGAGGTACAACATACTTACTTGCGGTGTTGAAATAACACCATAGACGATTATCCCATGTTCGGCTTTCTGGCTCTCTCAACTGTCTGGGAGCCGCTGCTCTGCATTATTTTTCCGTTGGGATTCTATCAGGCCGTCAAATACTGCACCACTACCAAATCCGAGACGATCAGACAACCATACTCGGCAACAGAAGAGGTCCAAAATTCTCCAAATTGCTGAGAAGTTGAGGGAGCAGAGATAAAGGAAGAAGGAGAAGAAAAAACAAAAGGAGGAGGAGTTGAGAAAAAAAAATGGAGGAGGAGATAATAAAGAAGATGGAGGAGTTGAAGAGAAAGATGGCAGAAAAAACTAAGAATGAGAAGAAGAGGAAGAGGATCAGGATCAGAACGAGAAATTGAAAAAGAAGAAGAAGGGGGGAGTTGAAAAACACGCCCAGAAGGATCGGGCCAAACCTATATGTTTCGCCCAATATTGAGAGAAGAGGAGAAGGAATGGGCGAGAAAATTTCACCTGAGATCCAATGTTGAAAGAGTTATAATGGAAAGCAGCAAGCTATCGGGAGGTGATGACGTAGTTGGATGCAGAAGATAAGTGGATGGCGGTGGACGCACACATAGAGGTCACGCAGAAGGCCATACAACAAAAACGAAGGGAAGCTGAAACAATTAAAAAGTCGTTGGATGATGGGTAACCATAGCTGAAAGGGTAGAAAAGCAAGCCAGAGGGGAGGAGTAGACGGAGGTGAAGGAGTAGATTGGGTTGCTGACCGAAGTGGATCCACTGCACTACCTATGTCCATAGACCGTCTAGTGAACCATCACAAAAAGTTTTAGAGGAAAGTGGAGCAGATTCACTATTGCCATATTGTACAACTTCAGCAACAAAATCAACACCGCCCTTTTCGATGTAGAGGGTAGGGTGACGAAGCGTTGTGTGATGAAGGGCGTTGGTGGAGGTAGTGGCCCCCGTGATGGTGGAGATCATAACGATGAGGACAAGAAGAAGGGAAGAAGACCAGGGAAGGACAAAAAGGAGTCAGATGATGCAGCGGCCAGGGAAAAAATTAAGCCGAAGATGTCTTGGACCTAGAATAGGAAGAAAAAAAAGAACTTCCTACGGTGGGAAGCAATCGTTAGAAGTTATGTCAACGGCTAAAGGGTATCACGACAGGACGAGTCATGTTCGCTGCTTCTTGTCTCGGTGACGAGGCAACAAGTTACCCTAGTTCTCTCTTATCGAATGCAGGGTGCGTAAGAAACATCGTTAAGTATTCTTGCAACACACTCTTAAATGTCTACCTAGAGGCTATGAATCTCCCCCAGAGGCAGCCATGCACGGCCGCGGCCGCGGCCGCGACCGGGGCCACGACCCCGCAGCCATGGCCGCGCGGCCGCACGACTTTGCGGCCGCGTGGCGGCCAGTGGGGGGCGGGGCCGGGGTTTTTTAAAG